TAAATAAAATGAGACAGTATAAAAATAACTGAACTGTTATGTCGTCATAACGCCTGGTGCTTTTGGCATTATTGCCTAACAATAATAATTTAATCTACATATTTTGTTTATTTCAACTTAATAGTAGGCGTTTCTGATGTGTAGTTTACATTGTGTTATTTAACATCATATATTTTGTTATTTAATATGAATAAGATAAATAAATATTTACATGAACCTTATATTTAAAATGTCAAACCGTCTGTATATTTCATTTAAAGCAATTTAAGTTTAGGTAGATATACTTCCTAATTAATATTATTCCTTTAATAAGTATTTCACGTAATATAGAAATTGCCCTTCTGCCGCTCGCATAAGTCCTTCCGCTGGTTTGGAGTGCCTTTTGCACTGATTAAGACTGCTTTGTGAAGCTGCAATGGCTAGCTGCGGCTCACAGAGCACTAGAATAGTTTACAAACTCACCAATAACTTTGTTAAGTTGGTATAAATTCGGAACAGGATTTTCGTATGGACTCATAATATAAAAATCGTATATATTATCACGCCTCCTTATTATACCAAAAGAGGTTCTTAGTAGCATTTTTAGCTGTCGACATCATTGTGAACACGATATGTCCAAATTTCACCCAGAATATTTAAATCCTCTGTCGGGGGGAGAGCCCACCTCCGTCTCATGGATAAAATTGGGTTTGTTTGGTTGTTGTTATTTACATTATATATGTATATCTATTATTAATAGCAATTTAACAAGTAAATTATTCATCAGTCACTATTAGTATTTGAAATAGCTCAAGCGCGATAATGTTTATAAAGCAATATATTACACTATCACACATTTTAATCGAGCAAGTGAAATTTTCATATGAATATATCAGATTGCAGGGTGATATAGCGTCAAATATGAGTGATCTCATGAACGATAACAACGCAGTTTTGTTGTAAATTGGCGTGATCAGCCATCCAGCACGCAATACTATGGAATAATAAGTCGCGATTCTAAGAATTGAAAGGTAGTATATATTTATATAACGATGGTGGTCTAACAGTTGAGTACGTTGTTTTACTTTCCGTTATTAACTGGTTAATCATGGTCAATATTCTGTATTTATGTATGTATGTATTCTTCTTCTTGTCTAGGGTTATTTATTTATTTACCTGTTATTATTATATTGAGTAACTAATGAACTGAGATAGTTTTATTAGCGGCCTCGACATGATGATAATGAGCAATTTAAGGTTTTGTTCACAATAAAACAACAATTGAATAGTTACCGTTTTTGGCATCCCTTGAAAGTAGGACGTGTCACGGGAAGTGGAGGAACAAGGAGAGTAATTAGGATACGCAATACCACGGCCCGTACGCGTCACATTGGTGGGCCTAATTGAATAACCTACTACAAAGGAAACCGCGCATTTTGCTTTCACTGGAAGAGACTGCATGTTCTGTTAGTACTGTTTGTGATAACTGTAGCACATTTACACAAGAATATTACAATATAATAAGATATTATATATACACAACACACATATAAGAATATTATATATACACATGTAAATTATTCATTTCTTTATTTCGCTATCATCAGAAATATGATTGATATTCTCAGGTAACAGTTGATGTGAAGAGCCGATTTGTTTATTAAAATGTTTAAAAACTAGGGTCCCAAAAACGAACCTTGAGCCTCTTGACAAATATTACTAAAGGCAAATTCGTATATTGCATTTATCTGAAATCTATTTTTGAAATATTCACATATATTTTACATGAACATCGTTTAATAAGATAGATAGATATGAGAAAGTTGGAAAAGGAACTTTGTGTTCGAATGCATTTTAAAGATACTTTATCATTTTATTACTTCGCATTCGTACTCAACAATAAATTTGTTATCTGGTTTTATAAACTACTCGTATTGTGTTGTAAAGCTTTTTTTTTATTATATCTTCCTACCGTATGTACCTAATATACTGATTCAAACGCAGTTAATGTTAATTATAAGTATATATGATTGGGACAAAATTAGAATATACATTTTATGTACTGCTATAAATAACAATGAAACAAACACTGAAATTGTACAAGCCACATCCGTACAGTAATATTGTTTCAGTTTATTTTTCTTTTGTTTGTATTTTCTATGTAATATATTAATCATTCCTTATAAGAGCTGACGTTGAACGAAGAATATATTTTCATCTCTTCTCTGTCCCTAGGCGAATTAGTTGACGACAATACAAAATCGTCCTAAGTTTAAGAACATTTCCACTTGACATCGTTAATCTTTCAGTTACGATGTGAAACGAAACTTCTTAGCAAGTCCTTTCGCGAGTTTGTTCCTTATCATTTCCAGCTTTATTTATATCATGGTAGGAAACTATTCCGCCCACAGAGGACTTGATCTCCTACACTACGACATCGGTGATGCAATGCCGGATCTCTTTGGTTACATTAGTTCGGATGCGATCTTGCTCTACTTTGCACTCTCCGATTTTTATTGACTACGATCAAAATCAACTTTATTGTCGCTCGCATCCAGCCAAGTACTTAGCGGAATGGACTTTTGTAAAAACAAAACACATACATTGCATGCAAGCTAAAATTAATCAACTTGTGGCGATTAAACCTAATGACCAGCAAATGTGCAAACAAATTGAATCAGGCTTCTAATCTGCAATTAACTTGTAATTGGCAGTTGTGCTACCTTAGTTTATCACTTCGAAATCTTTACTGTTAAGGTTACAGTGATCATCGTTTTATGATTGAATTACCAGCACAGATTAGGAGGAAAAAGCAAATTTATGAGTCGTACTTAATGGATAAACTTGTGGAATTCAAGAAAGTCAATTAGTTTTTATAGGCTATTGGATCAGGTGGATATCTGAATTTCATTCTCATAATTTAAATGACTAATATTATGATGAAAGATGGTATTAATTTTTTTTCATATAATTATTCGGAGACATTAATTGTTTCAGCTATATATACTAGCCAAGTAAATATAATTATATTTTGATAGTGTTTACAATAAATCAGATTATAATACAATCCGTGACTATTACCCGAGACGTGTCTGATTTGAATTAAGCCCGCACCAGCTCAATCCGCGGGCTGTATAATGTCACTATACTCTTGTATCTCAGACTTAGTTCATTAGATAGTTATCCGTCAACCGAATTGTGGATCACCTCCCGCTATCAGGTGCGCTGCAAACAAAACGTTGAATAGAGGCCGGGTTAAACATGCACGACGGGTGTACGGGTATAATTAAAGTTTAGGAGACGCTCACGTCGCCCGTTAACCTCGTTATCGGGCGCTGGAAGTGGGTGAGACGCGGTGGGGCGGGAGTCAGGCTCGGGGCAGGGGGGAAACGAGGAAAATCAATGACAGCCGCCGCGCGCCGTCTCTCCCCAGCCCGACGCGCTCATCTCGCGACCACGTGCCGCGGTCACTGGCCTGACTAACCACTCGCGACCACCACAATGATTTGTCTCCAACGATACCGCTCACCATTGATTTATGGTGCTGCGTGTGAACTGACTCCTCATTGTTCCGTTTTAATTATTTCAGAATAGATGAATCAGCTGTCTGAAAATTTACACTCTGGGATAATAGCAGGTGTTTCACCTTTTTTTTTATTTTTGTTTCTTAGTTTATTTTAACGCACAATATTTCCTCAACACTGACCGGCGAGCTGTCATGTACGTAACAAATAGGTGTAGCCTTCCAAAGCCTCCCCAGTTGACGGGGTGCGCTCGGTCGTCTGTAAAATACACTCTCTAATATGTAGGTCGCTGTCAGAAATTTGGGTTATCGTTTGGTCGCGTCGATATGCCACGCTTCCGTACCGCACCGACACATTGCGAATGCCATGCAGTTGCATATAATTGCTGGTTTATCTTTACTTATGTAATAATATATAAGATAGCCACATGGCGCTCCTCTAAAGTATTTACATAGTTGCCCTTATAATTCACTTATCATGTTAATGTATGTATTGTGGCATATAAATTGACAACACCGCTGAATAAATGGCTAGATCAATATACATTATACAGCTCATTCACACGCCACACTCGGTTACCAACAGTCGCAACGCAACAGTGACTCATATCTGGGCGAGTCTCGCGGTGCGATGTAAAAAACCCCGTAGCAATGAACTTCCTATTCCCCAATACATGTGTTCGGCTTTACGTGCTACCTATAGATGTTTTATTATAAGTATATCGCGACCCATCGTCGATCAATGTCAACCGCATATTTGGGTCAACGTCCGTCAGCCGAATTCCTGCGCATCGTCTTCTCTTCATTTCCTACCACGCTTCCTTATGCCTTTATTGTGCCTATACTATTATGTGTGTCTACTGCTCACTGCTTAGTTTGATCATTTGATGATTCATCGTCTACGGATTGTGCTCTCTTCCTTCAACGGATTGTAAATAACGTTTTTGCAAACTCAAAAACTTCGTGTTTAAACTAATAAAAAAATGTTACTTGTGTCAAATTCAAATGTCACACCTATTTAACATGCATAATAATTAGACTTGTCACCTATAAAATGTAAATAAAAAGTTAAACAAATGTACACAATCAATTTAGTTCTTTGGTGTCCCGGCGCCTATATTTATTTTACTTCAGAAAAACTGGGAAACAATAAATCAGCTGTTGATAGAAATGAGGTGTACTGTATCATTATACTAATGTCTTATGTTCAAATACGCAATGCGATCTCTAAAATTAATATCAAGTAGCCCTAAACGAGTGGGCTCATAATTTATTTCTATTTAGTTATTACTAGAAATTAAAACGTAATAGTTTCCCTGTACTACAATTTTGTTAAATATAAACCTTCATCGATAAGCACGATTATACTACTGCAAAAGACTTTATTTTCTGTCATATGGATGATAACATCTCAATATAAAGAAGAATGAAATAGATATTTTGAATATTTTATTACTAATGAGGGCTCTACTAATAGTTCCTTTTCTTTCCATTTCAGGTATATTATGCGAAAAAGAAACGGAGAGCGCAACAATACCTAGGAGAAGACGGCTCGCACAAGAAAGAGAGAAAGCTGTACAACGATGGTTATGATGACGATAACCATGACTACATCATCAAACAGGGCGAGAAGTTCCTCGACCGGTATGAGATCTCATTACCGATTGGAAAGGGATCTTTTGGACAGGTTGGTCACTTTTGTTTATTTGTATAATTATACGCTTGTTAAGGTCACGCAATAACCAACTTTAATCGGTAACGATTTTGACATGTGACAACTTCATTAGAAAAATCCAACACAATATCTGCATATAATATTTGAGGATTTTTTGGGACCAAAACAAAGGGACCACTTTGGGAGAAAAAAAAGAATTTAAAAAATCGGTTAATAATTAAAATTTCAAAGATATTGACGAACATATACGAACATTGAATATACTCTTTTTTTGTATTCATTGAAAATTGGTATATGATTAACGTGGTTAATTAAGTTATCAAATGATAAGGAATGGTTTGATTGTTGTATACAGTTTTGTGGGATACTATCTGGATAGAATAATAATTATCTCACTTATTAACGGTTAGCAACAGCTACGCGTGCGTTTTTGTATCTCTCTGAATTCGTCCTTTCTAATAGATAGCCAATGCTGTTAGCCAATCTATTTTTGGACAAAGTTGTCTGCGTAGAGGTAGTTAACAGTTTTACCTATGTTAACTGCCCAGCAGCTTTATTTTAAGTGCTGTTCAACTGACTTTTGGTTGTACGTTGCAGATTAGGCAATGAAATGATACGATACGAGGTGTTAAAGGAGTCACATAGTAACGTGATGTCCGTGTATATAGATGACGGTTACCACTTACCATTGGGTGGAACACAAGCTTGTTTGCTATTCCAGTTACACACAAAATCCTTAAAAAATATTTAGTCTTTCAAACCAATATTCTTCCAAATTACTTTGGATCATACACTCTATACTTATAGACAATTTATTTATCGTTAAATGAGAACTTGTAATGGTTATTATTAATGAAGGTTTATTTATAACATGTCAGTGATATAATTACCATGCCGGATCATGCAAAGGCAATCCTGTGGTTCATGTCAAAGATATCAATTAGAAGAGACCCTCTTATTTACCCCTTGAGATAAGCATACTATCTATCTGTCACAGGATAATAAGACTGGTCGCAAACTAGCTGTCGTACTTGTATCAGCTCAGGCTGTATTTTCTAATGCGGCATATTATTACTTAATCATATGATACCTCTGAGGGTGTCATCTGAGTGGTTACACAAATCTGTCAAGTATTCGTTTGACGCTAACGAAAAAGTGTTTCTATGTTAAATTTTACGTTACAGGTTGTGAAGGCGTATGACCATGAGGAGCAGTGTCAAGTAGCGATAAAAATAATTAAAAATAAGAAACCCTTCCTAAATCAGGCACAAATAGAAGTCAAGTTACTAGAAATGATGAACAGGGCGGACGCTGAAAATAAGTATTATATAGGTAAGTTATTTACATTGAATGTTAATAATATGAAGACAGATATAATCTGTTAACGTCCGTTACTATTTTAACCAATTTCTCTTAGCCATACTTAATAATATATATAATTATCCAATATAAGAATATAAGTTTATTTGCAAAATACAAATAAGATTTTTTTAACTGATAATCTGTCTAAATATTTTATACTCAAATCATATTTTTATTTGATATTTTCAACGACAATTTCTAATTCAAAACTTAGAACAATATTTATATATATTTAACTATATGTACAATAATATATATAGGTATATGTATCTCTGATATATAAGACCAGACTACCATACTGACAGTCGGCTATGACTAATACTAAAGGTCCGGTTTTTAGTACCAATAATTTACGTAACCCCAAGCGGTTGGCAGAAAACAATAAAGTTATTTCGATGCATGCGACCGAACAAATTAATCTGTTTTAAATTGTTGTAATTTTCATGTATCATGTTATTGGTTACGCAAATTAATAATTGTTTTATTGGCTCGGTCAGTCTTTGCAATTATCCCGGTTTATACCGCTGTAATTTGTCGGCTTTACATGAATATTTTTGCCCATAATACGGTGCAATTGTATGCTAAAATGGTGTAATTAAGGTAATCATGTGATTATTTGCGGAAGTTTATTAGAGATGCATGTTTAAGTAAATAACTTGCACACTGTTACTTTATTGTATGTATGTAATAAGCACGAGCAAGCCTTAAATGTGTCCTTGGCGCACTTTTAGTCCGCCAAAGTTTCCTTTAGTGTGTATCGCAGTGTAATGCGCGTACGCCACGAACGGAAAAGGAGGCGAGTGCAGACGGTTCTCCAAAGCCGCGAACGGACTTATGGAGCGGCTGAAGATGATTGAAATAAGAGTAATGGTTACATTGTGTGTTGTTACAGTGAAACTGAAACGTCACTTTATGTGGCGGAACCACCTGTGCCTAGTGTTCGAGCTGCTCTCGTACAATCTGTACGATCTGCTGCGCAACACCAACTTTCGCGGCGTGTCGCTAAATCTCACGCGCAAGTTTGCGCAACAACTGTGCACCGCGTTATTGTTCCTTAGTCAACCTGGTGAGTCTCTTAACACTGTACTAATTGCATGTCCTATTTTATAATGATAATAATATCTCGGGACAATTCGCACATCGTCGTCTGGTCCCAAGTTATGCAGAGCTTGTGTGATCACAAGCTCTGCATAACTTGTATAGTATCCATCAGGATACTATACAATTAATTTAAATACATATGTAGATTTGTTTTTTTTTTATAAATACATATATAATTTAAATAGAAAACAGAGAGATACTATCGTGTTCATGAGTAAAAATGTACTCTGCGAGGTAACGAAACTAGTGGTAGTTCTAACCCACTAGAACCATCGTCATCTAATATATAAACTCTAACAACACTTCAGAAGACAAGTCAAAGAATTATTTGGTATGATGACTTCGCGCCGTCATCGACATCACACTTCAATTCATCCTCACACTCTGAAACCTAAGTGGTTTCTCACAGTTCGGTTTCACAGAACCTCCCGAAGTGAACAGAATGTTTGAACAGAAGTTCATTTCAAAATCTAAGGATTTCCTATGATTTTTCAAAATACTACAGTATGGGGTTAACCCTAATATACCCTTGGTCTAGAAGGGTATATTAATATAAGTGTATTTATTAAGGTTGTTTGTTAAGGGAATATTAAGATTGTTTATATATTCCACTTTACAACACAAATTTTAAGTATATTCTAAAATGTCTGATTGATATTGTTTTCTCTTACAGAACTAAATATAATTCACTGTGATCTTAAGCCTGAAAATATTCTACTATGTAATCCGAAGAGGTCAGCCATTAAGATTGTAGACTTCGGGAGTTCGTGTCAACTAGGTCAAAGGGTGAGTTGTTATTAGATTTATTAAATTATTCATTAAATGTAAGCGTACTTTAATAATACCTGATTGTGTCTAAGTTAAGACTTATAGCTATAATCCGTCAATGTCACTTCGTTTGCGGTACATGTATAGTATAGATTTACAGGAGTATAGTGACATAGTTTCACCCAGTTTCATGTAATTTTTTGTAGTATTAATAGAGTAGGCAATGGCAGTCTTTTACGTTTCATACTATACTATTTTTGACTGCATACATCGTAGCGCAGTATAAATCAATATTTATATGACCTTATCTGGTGGCTTGCAGATCAGACTTATAAATAAATAATAATTTCTGATTTATAAATGAATATTAATAAAACGCAAGATACTAAAAATTTTGATTATAATTCGTAGATGTATTAAAAATCTTCTGAATGACCTAGATATTAAATTTTTCAATGGGTTATAGTGTATTGTTACATTTCGCAATCGATATCGAATGCGTCAATGGATTTACGTGCAACAAAACAACACTTTCATTCCATTTCATGACGTCAGATTTGGCACAGAGACCTTGGACCTCCCTTGTCGTCATTATTGACGAATGTTTTGTTGTTATTGACGCATTTTGTATACACGTGTTTTCATTTTATAATGAACGAACGTGTAAGCCCATTCAACATGATTGAACATCGTAGCCAAATTTGCACAGTACACGAATAGCATAGTGTTTATCTCTTAATATGAATATTTTTACTAGGGTATTTTGTACAAAGTTGTATTGGTATCTACCTATTTCAGCCGCTTGCTTTGTAAGCAGCGCTTCTGTTGAATGAGAAGATGGGACTGAAATTATTAAGGCAAGGGATTACAAACGTCACATGTTAACATGATGTGCATGGTTACGTTCTTGTATACATTAGGCGACGGTTGCCAGTTACCATTAGATAGATAAAACATTTATTGCAACATTAAACAAATTAGAAATAATACACAAAGTAAAAAAGAAAAAAAAACATACCCAGTTGGCAATAGGAGCTGCCTTAGCTGTTGCTGATATAAGCACAACCTCAATGAGGTTCACCTATACAGCGCTGGTTTTAGTCTGTAGCGTGATGGATTTAGATCACCACTGTAGCGACGTATGATGTGATTCTCGTTACTTAAATTATGTAGTAGTGGGTATACAGGTGTTATCATTGTACTATTATTAAGTTTGTTTGATAGTGTGCTACATGGTATATTTGTTACGCGTACATTTAACGCGGACTGATTTTACACTACAGTTAAAATTAAGTTATATGAATACGTGAACAAAAGCAGAATGAAGTGTTGACAGAAATATTATAAGTAGATGTAAGTCAGTCACCCGTAGGAATTTATACTGATTCAATGACATTAAGTTGTGCCGTTACATACTATTGTCTTATAAACTAGCAACTTATTATTTAAATATTTAGTGGTCAATGAAAGCACTAACTGTAGTTGTTACCGATTTGTTCGATTTAGTTTCAAAAGAACGGTGCAGAATCGGAATTAAAAACGATATTGATATTAAATTCCAGAGTAGACTTCCAGTTGGGCTGACAACCTTTTGTGTCTAGGTATATAAAAAAATCTGTAAGTCTCAGTTCAAAAATTCATTTAATCATTTACAATTTGGTATATTTGGTGTCACAACTGCTAAAAGATTACAGTGATGTTAGGTTTTAATGACTCGCCTATATGATAACATTCCAGTCAGATTCCTAGAATATTATGAGTAAATATTTATATGTTTACTGTTTGGTATGTAATTGAACTTTAAACATAAATATAAGATAAAATGTAACGCACATTTAATAATAAAGTTGCATTCATCCATAATATAACACAAATGGAAATAAATTTAGGACCAAGAATGATAGGGAGAACCACGTGGCATAGCTGTTCATTACCGCTACTGTGAGTTTGAATCTGGCCCATAAAAAATCTGTCTTTTAAATATTTTTTACTCAAACTCATGGCCATTATTATGACAGCGATAAAAAAAAAAATACGAGATATTACTGTAGTTTCGCCTGATATTTCATTGATTTCAAATATTGAGCGAAATGTGGACTGATCAATTGTTGGGTTCATCACTTCATTTACAGTTGACAAAGCCTGTCTACCCAAGGTAGGATAACAGTCAAGATGATATTTTATTATGAATATAGTACCAGCCAGTAGATTTGTTATATTTGTTATCGAGGTTTTCATCATAGGAAAGTAAGTCGAAATATAAAAAAAAAGAAATTTAAACACATTGGAAGTTCTTAAATAATAATATCATGGTAAATATCTCGTTTATATATTGTGTACAATTGTAAATTTACATAGATTTTTAGTTTTGGACCAGACTATAACACTTGCTTTTTATTTGGTCACAACTGTGCTGACATAGAGATATCATAGATATGGCTCCATTGTTAGTTAAGTTTAACTGAAATATTTCGATTTGTAGATCCGACTAGTACACTAATTGCGCAGATAAATCTATCTCATTGGGGGCGTATGATTCAGTGCCGGAGGTGACAGGGGTTATCGACAACTGCGTCTCAAATATTATAATTACTAGCTGACTCCGCTACTTATCTCGAATAATAATAGTTTATGAATCAAATCAAATCAAAATATCACGAAATTATTTATTTATTTATTTACATCGTACTAAGTGAGCTTAACAGTCTCCCAATATGCCCACTTAGGAAGATAATATACAAATACACACAATTATAAACAGTAATTACACAAGAAAAACAAAAGAGAAAAAAAAAACAATAATAATAATAATACCTAATCTCCATTTAACATACTACCTAAATAATCTACTGCCATCCTACGAAACTCCAGCAAATTACAAGTAAATATGTCTAGATCTGGAAAGCGACTAACTACACCGTTGAGTAGACTCAATGCCAGAGAAATAGGAGCCTGTTTGGCCAGCTCTGTTCTTCTCCATGGAACATGAAACAAGTTTCGTCTTCTTGCTTGTACGTAATTATTGGGCGCTCTTATGGACACCGATGTTAATACCGCTTGGTTACATTTTTCACCTCTCATGACTTTGACTACATATTCCATTAATGCAATCTTCCGTCTTACTTCGAGAGTGTCATATCCCACCATCCCCAACAAGAACATAGTAGGATATATATTAGGGTATGTGACTCTATAACCGTACTGCCTTTGATATACATATCGTATAAACTTTTTTTGGAGTTTCTCCACCATGAGTATATATTTTGACTCATGTGGGTTCCAGATAATTGCGTTACTTTCTAGTTTACTGCGTACGAAGACATTATATAGTATTTTAATACTAAGTATGTTGTCTAACTGGTGTGCCTGTCGCAATACAAATCCAAGGGTCCTGAACGCCTGAGTGCATAGTGCACTAATAAGACTTCGGAAAGTAAGATCATCGCTCATCAAAACCCCCAGGTCTCTTATAGACTTTACCCTATTTAGCAATGTATTACCTAACTGATAATTATGCCTATAGGTGTCCACATTCCGACTAAATGTTACAAGTGAACATTTGGTGTCATTGAACATCATGCGATTTTTTTCACACCACTCAAAGATATTGTTTATATCTTTCTGAAGGAGCTCACAATCAGAGAATTTGGTAATTTTAAAAAATAATTTTAAGTCGTCTGCAAACAACAGACAGGACGCCGTAGTGACTACCTCCGGAAAATCATTGATAAATATCAAAAATTCCAAGGGTCCTAAATTACTCCCCTGACTTACCCCGGAATAAGTGTAATATGGCTCAGAGTAGCTCCCATTATACTGCACAAACTGCCTTCGATTGCGAAGGTAGTTGGAGAAAAATTTAATTAACAATGCAGAAAATCCGGCAGCTGAAAGTTTGTGAAGAAGAACGTCGTTGTCTACACTATCGAATGCTTTTTTTATATCGAAATATGCTGCGTCAACCTGGCTGCCACAGTCCACTGCATCCGTGACATATGTCCAAAAGGACAGTAAGTTGGTAGCCGTGGAACGGCCAGGCCGGAAACCATGTTGGCAGTCAGTAAGTCGGTTCTGTAGTTGTTTACTGATTAGAAAATGTAATATACTCTCGAATAATTTACCGAAGGTAGACAATATTGCCACTGGTCTAAAATCGCTTACATCCGACTTAGAATTACCTTTAGGAATGGGAACCACGCGTGAAATTTTCCACACTTCCGGGTAAATATATTTACTGAGACACAAGTTAAAAAGATAACATATTGGTTTTAAAAATACTGACTTACAGTCTTTTACGATATAAGGAGGAATGCCGTCAGGACCGGCTGAACATTTTGCATTGAGTCGTCTGAATGCCAGCTCCACATCATCGAGACTAATGGCGTCGATATGAACGCGCAAACTTTCTGAACCTGCCACCGCAATTGCTTCGTCTGCGTTCAAAATAGGTGGATTGTTTGCATACACAGATCGAAAGTATTGAGCAAACAATTGTGCTCCATCCTCATCAGATAAAGGTTTTCCTTCTGACAATATCACTTCAGACTTTTAACTCGACGTTTGGACGTTATATAACGCCAAAAGGTCGACGGATGGATGTCCCCGTGTCACGTAACTTTTGCATGGCCACTAATCTATGTTATGGTATATGATAGGCATGCATTACTAGTCAGTGTCAGTCGTATAAAGATATTTTTAATATGGGCCATTATTAGGACAAAATAAAAATTGTAGCTCGGTTTTTTTACTCAAAAACAGCATTATATAATATTTACAAGTAAATTAATTACTGTGCTAATAAATAGCAGAATAGCTTTATACGCACACATAGTCATAGTGATCTGATGTTAGTTATGGATAAATTATGACCTTTGTTATCTATTACTTTGTTGTATTCACGTGTCGATCCATTTGTATGTTCTAAGACTGTTATGTTACATTCTAAGACTCTTGTTTTTAATGGGATAATAATATGCTACAATTTAATATGATTAAATGAATATGTAACTATTGGTGAAGATTATTAATTGGTATAGGGTAATTAAATATGATCAGTAACAGGTAAAATTACACCACTCATCTTCCTAAAATAAAATAATATAAATAAAACTAATAGAAAGAAAGACTTCTTAAATCATTCTTAGGATATCATTTTTATTATTAAAATATTAAATTGTAACGAAATTTTTATTAGAATGTAAATATGAAAATTTATTATTATTATTATTATATAGTGTAGAAAATTTCAAGAAATTATGTAATAGATAAATATTATTTGAAATGCCAATAGCCGATATCTTTATCCGATTACCCTGAAGCAACATGGTATATATGTTTGTATTTTATGTTGATAGACGATTATTGCTACTCATTACAGTAAACTGTACAGTAAATTGTACCGTATACTTTTCCAAGAAAATTGTAGTATTTATGAAAATTGTAGTATAGGTCTAGTCCTCAAATTGAAATTTATATTATTCAGTAACAATTTGCATTGTGTTTGAAATCATTGTTATACAGTTTTTGCTGCTAAAAATTCATCAACACTAAAAATACTGTTAAGACAGCTGCTCTTAAAGTTTGCAATTGGGTATTGATATTAAAATAAATATTTGTATGCTTAATTTGAAAGGTATTACAGCGCGGCCTGCGCTAATGTACTCTGGCATAATTTTTTATGTATATATCTATCTGTAATCCAAATAAATATCTAACTTACTTACTAAATGACTTATTCACTTTTGCAATAGAATAAGGTAACGTTAAAAGGTGCAGATATAAATGTTTCTGTGTTTATTTTCAGATATACCAATACATCCAGTCGAGGTTCTACAGGTCGCCGGAGGTGCTTCTCGGTGTGCCGTACGACCTCGCGATAGACATGTGGTCGCTGGGCTGCATACTCGTAGAGATGCACACCGGTGAACCACTGTTCAGCGGGGCGAATGAGCTCGACCAGATGAATAAAATTGTCGAAGTACTGGGCATGCCACCCGATCATTTATTAGATCAGGTGGGTTGTATAAGTTAATGTAATAATGAATATATAAACGTTATTTTTTATTAAATTAGGATATATGTTTTATGATGGTATGATAATGAAATTATGATTCTGCCTCTGCTGAGGTATGAATATACGCTGGTCTGTGTACACTATATACACTAGTGATTGGTATGATCACTAGTAAAGCGTTAAAAGCAGAAGATGGATGAAGGATTTATCACGTTGGTTTCCCAGAGGAATCTTGTGTAGTCCTTTATTAATTACTAGTAATCTTCTTGTTACATACAAGAAGTTTATTTTTGCATAGTATAAATTGAAGTCGCTTGCGCTTGTCTTTTTGCTTAACTCTTTTAAAGTTCGCAACTTTTCTATGCTAATTAAAATTTAATGCAGCTTTTAACAATATGGTAGATGAAGTGATTCAAGAGGAAGTTTTATATGTATAATACATGTACACCAGTGAGAAACCGGGGCGGGTAGTTAGTTACCCTATTGGTTAAACTACCATTAAACTCCTCGTTTAGATTAAAACTATCAAAATGGTGGCAGAATGTGCAAAGATAATGCATAACATAGGGATATAAAAATAAATACAGTTGTAATGACAATATCTTTGTTTATATAATCCGTTACAGTTATACACGGTTATTGTTCTTGCAGGCACACAAGACCAGAAAGTTTTTCGACAAATTACCAGCCTCCGAAGGTGGTGGATACGTATTAAAGAAAGTCAATGGCAAAGATGGAAGGTAAGTTGTAAATAATTTGTTTCTTGTGTATTATGTATAGCTTACATCTTATTAAAAAGATAGATAGATTTTACGGACAAAACTTATTTTTCTGGCCATGGCTAATGTTGTGCTGAACAAAACTCTTATAGGGCAATTTTTATCCGCATGTATACTCACGCGTGGCGCACGTAATGAACATAAATAAACTTATTTACCGTTTGAGTGTGTGTTAGAGTATAAATGAGTTTTTACTCATGTAAAAAAGCCTAAAGATGCCAAGAAAATCGTTGATTTCGATGCCATATGTAGCATACCCTTTCTTGTAAAAATACTGTATCTTTTCAAAAACTTGTCTATTTATATATTCCTGCAGAGCGCTAGATGGCAACTGAGTTTCGCCCCTGGGAATTATGGGACACACGCACAGCGCTCTTACGGTTAATATTTATAAAATATAAACATAGAAATAGAGATGTGTATTTGTTGCAGCGGTTACAGAAAGTACCTAGCGGCGGGCACGCGGCGGCTCCACGACATCCTCGGCGTGGAGGGCGGCGGGCCGGCCGCGCGCCGCCGCAACGAGCCCGGACACTCCGTCTCAGACTATCTCAAGTTCAAGGTACCGCTCTAATACACCTACAATCACAACCACATACATGTATATTCGTTTATCTATATTCAGAATACACGTGTTCTTCATCATAATACTAGCTGCCCCGACAAACGTTATGACATATAACTTTAAATCGCTATTAAAAAGTAGGGGTTGATGGTATAAGGCTGGAAATTTGAGGTTGTATATATTCTTAATGCCATATTATACATATACTAGCTGTCCCGGCAAATGTTGTTTTGCCTTAAAATAAAAAAAAAATTAGGTGTGGACTACCCCTAACATTTAGGGGGATGAAAAATAGATGTTGGCCGATTCTCAGACCTACTCAATACGCTCACAAAATTTCATGAGAATCGGTCAAGCCGTTTCGGAGGAGTATGGGAACGAAAACAGTTTTCGTTCCCATACGAGAATTTTATATATAAGATCAATGATCAATATGAATCAAACTTGCATTGATTTTCCAGGACTTGATCCTCCGTATGCTCGAATACGATCCAAAGCAACGCGTGACGCCGTACTACGCGTTGCAGCATAACTTCTTCAAACGGACAGCAGACGAGTCAACAAACACACAACAGGCGCAAGCGCAGTCGCACCACCAGCACGGTGAGTTCTAGAACGTTCCAAATTTCCCGAAGTACGTCGGTGCAAGGTAAATACGACATTCGTGTCTGTGCATTAGGGCTCAATGTTGAAGTGTAACGCGATGGAGTGTTCAATGATGTGTTCATGATAAAATTATATGAAATTCTTCGTATATTAGAGAAGAATAATATTGAGTTCAGATGAGATTTATAAATGTAACCCAAATCGTGATAATGTAATGTTTTTCACAGACATAAATAATGATTGATTATTATGATTACTATATGCAATAATATAATATCGAATAGACAAGAATCACTTTTATTATTAATTAATATACAATGCAACATTATAATGATATGTCTTATGTCTATTACATCAAATCGATGTATTTTGTTTACCAACCATATCATTGGCATTCCTTAATTTAATAATGAAATATAACAAAATAAAAAAAAAATTGTAAACGAAATTGGTGTTGGAACTATCTCTAATAATTTATATGTAAGACGAACTTATCTTCGAAAAATATGAAGTTTTTTTTGTTTCCAGAGAGAGAAAGTTAATATTGTTTTACGAGATGGAACTATTTCGAGAATAACAATAATAAAACTGGAAAGAATAAATATTAGTATAATCTTCTTTGAAATTAAAATCATTGTTTTTTCCATTGAATAATCTGTTCCAACAAAGTATAGACTTTTATAAGTATGTTTTCAGAATAGCAATAAATTTAGCACGAAAATTATAAAATAATTTTCTTGCCCTGGAAGCAATGTTTGCCTATTAAGGGCCAAACTTTTGTTTTAACATATTCATTACGAGCTTGTGTCGTGTTCTTTGCTAACACATAACGCTTGATCATTTCATATCTACTAATCAACATTACATCTGGTACCTTTACAAATGAAACTTCGTGGAGGTTGTTTATAATTTCACACGTGGTCTTATTTTATTCTTTTTTTATTTTTTTTATTAAAGACACTAAACATTTATTGTGATTGATATTGATTGGAGCAGGGATGATATTTGATTGTTTTGAGTCTGTCTGGAGTCTATAAGAACCATTATTGAACTGAAATGTCTTATTGTTTTATGTACTCGTTTATATGAAATAATGATTTTTTAATCTTTACGAACCTATTTTAGACTACTTTTTTATAATTAACAAATAATGCCAATTTAAATCCGGCTCGAAGGACCAAAGAGTATGGGGAAACAATCCCACCGTTCCGTGATACTGATTGATCGATTGATGCTAATGCTTGATGAGGGGTTGGATGAAATTATGTGATCCTCTGATGGGGGGGTTCCATAAGATTTTTTTAAGTCATCCAAATAATATTCAATCACAATAATTCTGTTCAATATTTTTCTTATACTTTTTATATAATTAAAATCGAAATTTTATATCTCGATTATTAAAATAAGACTAAGTATACACGTACTTAAAACGACTTCCGATTGTAAAGTGGTCCTTATAACATTGTGTATAATGGCGATATTCCCGTGGCAGATGGCCCGTCGGACCCGCGATGACTAGAGCGGTCCGGCGGCCCCGGCCCGCGACACTAACGCCGCTCCATAGTGCCTAACGATTACTGCCAGGTCTGCGTCTTAGATCCTCGCGCTACGCAACTGATTACACGCTCATCACCCGTACACTCTCCAACAACTGCACTGTGAAATAAACCTTATGTCTTATTACATTTATATGTAAAAGGAAATGATTGAATATCAAAATTTTACTTTTTCGTCATAACCATAGATGTAGATTAAAATGGATGTCACATGTTAATTGTTTGACAGAAAGTATGCTCATAAACAATTTAATTGCAAGGTTACGTAATAACAAATTCATTACTGTGTTATTATTTATTAAGTAAATAAAGGGATAATAAAAATTAATAATAATAATTACTTACAATACTAGTAATATATTTTTTAAACACAGAAAAATGATACATTTTGTAAATATTTCCTTAAAAATTATTTAATTTATCTACAATTTTACTGCTATTACGATTGACTTTTTATTGCTATGTAATCGTCTTAATATTATTTAAGTTTTAGAAGCAAATTTAGAGAATGTACAAATTATAAATGTTGTCTTCTAATTAGAACTTACTGTCGATATACTTATAAATATTTATTCAGTGTCATAAGACTTCTAGTTTTTATATAGAATGACATATATGAGATATCTATCTGTGGTCATGATTTTCAGGTTTATTTATTAACGAATTATGTACCTTATTACTATAATTATAAAGTTGTTAATATTTGTGCTCTAATGCCGCACAATTATTCTTTTAATTTAGAACTTAAAACACAGTGCTGTCTGCTGTCATAATATGTAGAGAGACAATGGTTGCGTGTGATTTGCGTGTAAATTCTTGCGTAGTGCATACTTGATCTTATTGTCAGAATGTAACCCCCCCCACTTGTCCAAGGCCCCACCAATCCTGGATGACGAATGCCATGTCCACCGCATGATATCGTTGTTGTTGCATGTATAGTGTTATTTTAAATTTGCAGCTTTTACACTCCAAATGTTTTGTTAATAAGTAAATTACCCAAAATTACATGCCCACTGCTGAACGGTGATATCAGACTAATGTATCCGTCAGACAATTGGCTCATCAACCGAGCCTTTAGTTCATCCGTAAGTTTGTAGTGTCTTCTACATTCTTCATAATTCATCCTGAAAAACTATAAAGATCAAATGACCTTTATAGTTTCTACTGTTTCTTACTCACTCGGTTTAGCCGACAACAGTAGTTACAAAAAAAATTATTGCGCATGTTTATTATTACATAAAATGACATTGATGTTAATAACACACATAAAGTAAAAACATTTTGTCACATTTTTAAAACTTCTGAAATATTAATGAAGTAACTTCATATCTGTTTACTTATGTAGAAATCCTGCTAAAGTCTTAAAATATCTAATTGCTCATATGAAATAAGTGAAAGCTGCAGATTTAAAATGATTTTATTCTAATACCTTTTAATTTAACTGTTGTATATGGTTTATATTTTTATTTCGATAATTATTTCATAAATAGAAATATTTGTTTTATTTCCAACTGCTTGTCAATAACACGGTGTTTTGTACTAGAATTGCTGATTCGTCCCATTTATCAAACAGCTTCGTACATTCATTATTTATTATCATTAATATTATTCCGAAAAAAGTAATGTAATGTATTTAAAAAGTACGATACACATGTTATGGAAGGCGAAGTCGTGTCTATTACACAATTTAGTATACTTTTATAATTTAAGGATTGTAACCCCGTAGTCTTTCACGATTCAACTAACGACGGTTGTCCTAACTTGACTTTTAACGTTGTCATAAATTTTACTATCTCCATACAAGTACATACATTTTACCTTTTGTATCGTAAAAGTAACAATGTTGCCGTTATGATGTAAAAATGAAATTGAAATATATGTATCTATATGGATGGTTTTATAAAAATTTGTGTGTTTTCCTCAAGTAAGAATATAAAAGATACAACTACATATTCAATCTACTCTTATAGTTTTTGTATAACAATAGAATTGGGATCCTTTATACGAGTACCGTTGTAATGATTCGTATTCGCCTTCACTACACTGTGTATTTACGTTTTAAAGATAATGATTGGGGTGATGTATATAACGTGTACTTATACTCACAGTGGGCGGAGCGCGGTTGTGGGGCGGCTCCGAGAGAATGGACGTGGAAGGCGTGCGGAGGGAAGATGACCTTCTGCAGCCTGTCTGCCAACTCCAGCACAGCCCCGTCGCTATACACTAGCGTCACTGGCTCCACTGGCGTCATTGGCGCCACTAGCGTTATTGGCTCCACTAGCGTCGTGCTACAGTATCGCCGTACCAGACAAAGTGACACGCCTGTTAAATTGACGTGTTGTTTCCGAGTACTAACGTAGTGTGGACAGACCTGTTATTGGGCAATTGAAAACAACAGATATTAAGTTTATTCGCCGTTGTTTTAATGTTACGCGCTAGTCAAAATTAATATCTCAGTTTCAAACAGACACTTTAAATATTTGTCCCTAACGAATCGAGTGCTGAATTATTTAGTTGGCAACTAGAATGTCGTCATTTTGTCTATCGGATTAAAAGGTTTCAAAGTCAAGAGTGTACGTTAGTGGCGCGGACGCAAACTACGGCAGATCCACAGGGCGGAACTGTTGGATACAAAGTGACTAATCACCACAGACACTATTGGTGCTTATTAGGACACTGCAATGTATAGTCAATATAAGTGATTTTGTACTTTAGTTGACCGTAATACTAGTGTAATTTGCGACCTACCGAATTTTGAGTTGTAGGCGTAACGGAATGTCAATGAACGGTCGAAAAAATGACAAGTGCTCAAATGAGATAATGGTTGTGTGTGTAACTGTACTGATGGAACCGTGAGTTAGTTAATTACGCAGAGTTGCGTGACGTCGCCGCTAGTGATGGACGTAGGTGGCCGCAGCCGGATCGCAGTAAGAACGCAGCCGGACCGCAGTCGCGTCGCAGGCAGAGAGGCTGCCTTACAGAAATTACACACAAGCGTAACTATTGGTGTAGTTTAAGTAAAATTAAATCACTCTATATTTAGAGGACGGTATAGAAGCGAGTGTAGTGAGTAATTCTAGAGAAATCAAGACACCTCGTTGGACTAGGACTCTAGTACAATCTGTGGCAGGACTTTGGACTGAATCCATATTTATAATTATATATTTTTATTTAATGCGATAAGTCTGACTGTAAAGAAAATATTATGGTGACGATTTTGTTACGTTGTAACATGTATTATTTGTTCTTAATGGCTTCACTTGACAGTACTTAGATACAACATTTGCATTACTTACCTTACAACATTTGCATATGAAATTTAACACATCTGTAATTAAAGGCATGAAAGCTAGGTTTTTTTATTGTTACGCAATGCATATCAAGAACGCAATATGGTAGAAAATAAATAATGTATATAAAGTTTAGGGAAACAATCTAATGAATACAGACTGCAATATAAACTGGATAGTCTAGTGTTTAGTTACGATCTATGCTAGTTAGGCTTTCATTCAGTTATAATTATTATCACAAGCTTTATAATTTTAAAGTGTCAGCAACTGATGACTGAAATATAAAGGGCCAATATTAATTTCTTTTTTACACAAACGATGTAATAGATTTAAGTATGTTTTATGCACAAAAGTGAATTATATTGTCACATCTGGCTTATTTATTTGACTGATTAAAATCCAAATTTTACGTGTAAATTATATGCCCTCGCATTTCAAATTCATTCATATAATAAAGTTAATAAACTCGGATACTTGTGATGAGTATCAAATATTGATTATTTTCTAACTGTTGAATTTATTCCGACGATGTTTAAAACAGAATAGTATTTAGGTAATTCTATAAAACACAAAATATACTAGTAGGTTACGAGAATGTTGAATCATATATAAAAATTTTGGGTATTGAAATAGGGAATTATTAAGGTATATTCCCAATTGTTATATTATTTTGTTCCGCTATAGAATCGATATATTATTGTCATACTACTCATTAAAAGACTTTTTTTATTCTGTCTGTTCTACAGTAGAGAAGAATAGTAGAACGACTGGGAATATACTGATTAATAAAGTGAATTATTGAATTGTTCAACCATTTTGGATTTGAATCTACAATAGGCTAACCTCATTGCAACAGACTGGTGGAAACTTTGTATCGGAGATATTTTGTATAGCATACACTGAATCACTGCCTTATTGTGCCGGAACATTTAATGTGGGCCCGCCACTCGACTAGTACTTTACAAATGCAGGCTGCCTTGTTAGTTAAGTATATTATGAATAATGGTCCACTAGCCCAAATAGGACATAAACTTCTATAAATGTTTAATGGAGTGCTGAATCTAAATACTTTAAAATCTTGCGTCCATCGCCCTATATTTTTAAGGTGTTGGAGCGAGACGATTAGTATAATATAATATTATCGAAGCTAAGTTAATATAACTCGAAGATGGGAAGTAATAGTTCGAGCCTGCATATAAAGTCGCTCGAATGTGGGCCCGACGCTTAGCAACTTTAACCAGAATCTGTGTTTAGTAAAATTTTAATTTTCAATTATTTTAGTTAATTATTGACTGACGTGATTTGGGTCCTGGATAAAGCTGCTGATATGATGATATTGCAACGCAGATTATTTCGTACAGACTGCAAAATGTTGCTGTGAATTTTTGTAAAAACAAAAACCACTATTATTTTTAACATATATTTGTGTGGTCAGTAAATTTGTTACGTTGCATGAAGCACTAAAGTATTTTTCTATATTAATTTCTTATAGTGCCGATAAATGGTTTATTCTATTTCATTGTAGATTTGAATCTATTACTAATCTTGCTGTTCTGTATTATAAATTTTTAAATATCTGTATAATATTTACTGTAATACTTTTCTGCTTCATGAGGTTATAGGATTGTTAGAAGAAATATAAAAAAATATATATAATAGGTATGGAATACATGTTTTATTTCATGATAGAGCAATATCAACCATTGCAATGGCAGGTTTCCTATATTAAACTATTTTCAAACTACAATAATTTATATTGTAATTTTAAACGTTACATTTCTAATATCTCTTATTTTATACTGTTTCTATCATTTATATAATACCATTTGTAACAACTTAAAATTTTTATTATTTCTTTTACTGTACTTTATTTGTTTTATTATAAATATATATATCATAGCCCTTCATGCTCTACGGAAATCTGCCACAACATTGTTATATATCACAATTGGTCGGTGAGCAAGTGATAAACAAATATAAAACACCAACCTACATGAATAGTTCTAAATCCATTACTCAAGAATGGCCCTAGGTGTTTGCGCTTGAGTAAGAGTATGTAATGTACTATACTACTATTTATTTGTACTGTGACAGTATGGGATTATGTGAAGTGTGTGGTGACATGACATGTGCTGGTGTGCGACGCGATGAGCTGTAAAGTGTTTATTTCCTATCGGATTGCCAGTTCGCAGGCACTGTAACAATAAAAGGATAGAGCTTTATGTCACTAAGTTTTGTATTTTAAATCAATAAACGATAGCAATGATATGTGTTTGTTTTATTATTATATCATAATGATTTTTTTTATGGATGATGATGGTATTGTGCTATGACTATCCTAACTGTACACGCTGGCAGCGCAACAACTGAGGATGATAGGATGAAGTGAGGTTATTCTGCCAATAATAGCGAATTCACCAGGAATTGTTATGATATTGTACTCTGGTATAGATGGTGATGATATGGTTTCAAATGCACCAATTGAGGATGATAACATGAAGTGAGGTTAGACTGCCAATAATAACGAATTCACCAGGAATTGTTATGGTATTGTACTCTGGTATAGATGGTGATGATATGGTTTCAAATGCACCAATTGAGGATGATAACATGAAGTGAGGTTAGTCTGCCAATAATAGCGAATTCACCAGGAATTGTTATGATATTGTACTCTGGTATAGATGGTGATGATATGGTTTCAAATGCACCAATTGAGGATGATAACATGAAGTGAGGTTAGACTGCCAATAATAACGAATTCACCAGGAATTGTTATGGTATTGTACTCTGGTATAGATGGTGATGATATGGTTTCAAATGCACCAATTGAGTAGGATGAAGTGAGATTAGTCAGCCAATCGTAGCGAATTTACCAGGAATTGTTATAATATTGTACTCTGGTATTATAGATGGTATGATATGGTTTCAAATGCAGCAGTTGAGGATGATAGGACGAAGTGAACGTCACTTCGTCCTATCATCCTCAACTGCAGTCTGCCAATAAAACGAATTCACCAGGAATTGTTATGATATTGTACTCTGGTACAGATGGTGATGATATAGTTTCAAATGCACCAATTGAAGATGATGGGACGAAGTGAGATTAGACAGCCAATTATATCGAATTTACCAGGATTTCGTACGACATTGGTACTCTGAAAGTATTGATGGTGATATGGTTTCCAATGCACTAATTGTGGATGAATGGATGAGGTTAGTCAGTCCATCGTAGAGTATTCACCAGGATTTGGTATGATACTGGTACTCCGGTAGTCTAAATGGTGGTGATATGGTCTCAAATGGTACTATTACGCCGTAAAGAACGTGGTAAGTAAACATTTTATCAGAGGTAGAGTTTTTTTTAGTGGATGATAATGGAATAATGCACTTGTCTGCGTTGACGGTTTACGCTGGCAGGGCACCAGTGAAGGATGATATGATGAACATGAAGTCAGGTCAGTTAGCCCATCGTGATAAATTCACCGGAAATTTATCGCTATGGCTTCCAGGGAGAACCGCGTGGAAGTCAACCTGACATGGTACATTGTTAGCAATGGGATCATCGTCCACAGGCGATCAGCTTATTTCTAATACCATGTGCCTGAAATGCCATGGAAAAAACAACCCACACATTGTTCTGTACTTACTCTTTGTAACAGATTTTTAGTCCGGTGTAGTATACATTGTTTATAAACAATTGGGCGAATCTTAATGAAATTTGTCATTCCAAAATATTTTAGTAATATTTATATATAAGAACTATTAATTGGTGCCACAAAAAGCATAATAGGCCATAATAGTCAAAATTAAATGCGAATAGAGAGAATTGTTCTATGGTTAATACAAAAAATTCTTAAAAATTGATTGTTATCAAAGGCCACTTATATTTTTACTCAATTTTTCAAAATGTATATGTATGTCTTTATATGTTATATTAATAACATATTCAATTTTGCATTACGGAATGTCGTTTCTAATATGAGAATGCAGTACGTAATTTCAGTGAGTCGCTTAATTCTCCGATAGCCGTGATCGTCTAGTGGTTAGGACCCTACGTTGTGGCCGTAGTAACCCAGGTTCGAATCCTGGTCACGGCAGTGTTTCAACACTGTTACGGCGGAGTTATTTTTTATGCACATTTTTTTGGTTACACCAATACATAATTTTTTTTTATAAACTTTTAATAAAATAAATTTTTTTAGTCGTGTTAGTTTTAACGTATATTTTATTATTAATATTGTAATTAAGAAAACCATTTTAATAATAAGTATTATAAAATTTAATGTATATTTCTTCATATTTGAGTAATTTTAAGATTACAATACACATTTAAAATGAGAATAGAGACTATAATAAATCAAAATATTTTTATAAATTACTGCCATCTGTAACTCATCTTCTATAAGATTATCATTTTGTCTTGGTCCTATATCTAATAGCAAACTGTCCTTGCTTAGTTATCATAAAAAGCAAGTAGTCTTCTTTTGTCCAGTACTCGAAACAGATGGCGCTACTGGTATTTGTTTTGGTTCAACAACCACGCACCGCAGCTGTTCGCTATCATAGAAATACGCGAGTGAAAAGGAGTGGTGATTAGGCTCGCTTTGCCTAAATATTACGTTTTTTATATGGTTCACGTGCAAATTAAGGGCTGTGATCGTTATATACTCTAAGAAGAAAATATATTACTTTCGCTATATCGTTGGTAGTGTTAAAAAATAACGTTAAATGGTGCAATTAGGATGTAAACGTAGGTTATGACGTTTACTACGGAGTTTCTGTGTGTGTGTGTGTACAGTGACAGCATTGCCGCTAGCCGTTGGAGCGAATCTTGTAACGGAATAGATACTGTGTGAAATAATGTAATAATATTATGTTTGGTAAGTTTATTAAATATTGCTTGAATAACGGTATTAAATATATATAGGTCAAGCTTGGTGTTATTTCAACGCGCCATGAATTGTTGACCTCCATCGCTCGCAGTTTCCTGCAATTTACAAATTTCTCGCAATTACAATACTTTTTACCGCTTTCGCAGAAAGCCGCAGTGTATTGTTTCATATGTATTACTTGATACTTATCTGTCTTTATTTTTAAAATGTCACTTATCACGTTTGGTTCCTATCACCTTTATGCAGATTGCAATAAGGGTCATGAATACTCGAGGGGATGACATGAGTACATCAACAAAAAATACGCAGGCCTTATATAATAATTCACCTATCATAGGTTACGGTTGGGTACCTTTTCTTGATGTTGAGCATTAAGTAGGTACCTAATTAATTCTCGATTAATTTATATTTTTTTTCTTTCTCCATTAATTTTATTGTAAGCAATAAGATTTACCTATGAAGTATCTACCTGTATAAAGCCTGGTAAACCGATTTGTTTGGAATGATAGTTCAAAACTAGAGAATTTCGTCTTGAATGAATAGTTTTTTTCTAAATCATAATAAACTTTCTGTACTTAATACGTATTTATTTTTTTATATATGATAATGGTAAGGCACACCCGACTGTGCTAACGGTTTACACTGGCGGGGCACCAGTGGAGGATGATAAAATGAGCATGAAGTCAGGTCAGTTAGCTCATTGTGAAAAATTCACCAGATTTTTATCATACCAGGGGTAACCACGCTGACCACGCAGAAGTCAGCCCAACATGGTATATTGTAACAATGGGATCGTAAGTCCACATTACTAACAATACCCTTTCCAATATGTCTGTTGTACAATTATGATACTTATATACTTTTTTTTTACTAACTAGTACATAACTGCAAATAAATAAACTATGATTAAGAAGGAGTACCCGACAGCAATCACTGCTATAAGTACCTACTTAGACTAACAGAGCAATGCGAGTTCATTGTACGGATAGTACCTACCTATCTACGAACATAATTTTGATAGGTATCTTCTAATATGCTCTGCTGAGCGAATCTACGTTATATAGATACGTACCTACCTACATAGGAGCGTGATATTGGTATATTATTATGTACCTATTCTGTTATAATATAATACAGACATAATTTGTCTGTGTAAAACTGTTTTGACTAGATAGGTAGGTAGCTATGTATAAACCTAGCTTTCTCCCGTAACTTCGTTTGCGTATTTTTCCCGTTTTTGTAACGTTTTTCATTACTGCTCATCTTCTATTGATTATAATGTGATGTTATATAGCCTATAACCTTCCTCGATAAATGTGCTATTCATCACTGAAATAATATTAAAAATCGGTTCAGTTGATCTATCGATTTCTCCCTGCAACCTCACAAAGTATACATCTTTATAATATTAGTAGGTATACATATATATATAGCTACTAAAGGGAAGGGATTATTAGTAAACGAGAACATTGGGCCTATTTGTTGAAAATGTTATATAATAAGTGTAAATTCCTAGTGAATTTGTCACGATAGGCTAACTACCTAACCTCATACTCGTCTTATCACATTCCACTGGTGTCCATACGGTTACGGTTAGTATTCGAAATATCTCCGCAGATGATGATGATGACTGATCGAATTGATGACCCTACGAAAGTACTTACTACGTTCTATATACAGATGTAATAATAATAAAATCCGTGACGTTTTTTCTAAAGATGTAATATTAAAACTCTTGTTTCAGAAAAATCTGTAGCTAAAATTAGCTTATGACTTTGGTTTTCGTCTGTTTGTAACTGGGAAGATAAGAGATAAAATGTATATATGTAACATTCTACCACAGAGTATAATAATATGGTCATATTAACGTATTAACATCACATAGCGTTTGCTTTTATTATTTTTATTAACTTGACTCGTAAATGTAGACTTTAGACCATAAAACAGGTTTTCGTACTGACTTTGACGGAATAGTTAGTAATGTGCCGCTATTAGTAACAAATTATCGTGATGCCATTAAATATTAGAAGAATATTTTAGTTATGTTGTTTCACATGCAGAAAACTACTTTATTATATCTTAGATAATGTATGAGAACAAAATATTGGCTTTAAATATTGTTACAAATAAGACGTGACATTGCAAACTATGCAGAACAATAGTATTTTCTCTAAAAATATTTAGAGTAATAAAAAACAAGGTGACGGCCCACTTGATGGTAAATGGTAACCGTCGCCGGTATACATATGAGCGCTATAGACTAGATACACATTAGCATCTGTTGCCGACAGCATTTATACATTGCTATTAATTGTCTCAACCGAAATTCATCTTACAGAGTAAGCTCCTTGGCAGCTGAAATATGTGATACAGAGGTACCCACGCAGATAACTCTGACAGTCTACCTCAGTGATTAAAACGTAATATGCTGCCTAAATCAGTTTTAGATGTTTTGATGATTAGATGTATGAAATCTATAATATACATACGTTTCTTTTATACTTATTATTACTAATTGCAAATTTGTAATGTCCTTTTGTTTTTTTTTCTTCCTACAATCTTTACAGTTTATATCCTTACTTAATATTATAAACGCTAAGGTTTTTTATGTCCATACATACAAACCTTAACAACCTTAAAAGAGTAACCAACATCCATATGTTGGTTACTCTTTTATTCAAATGCTACTGAACGGATTTTAATGAGACTAGTAGGTATAACATAGCTTATAATTCAGAACAAGACAGGCTATAATTTATAAAGATATTTTGTGAATTAACCAAAAGTTTGATATTTCTTTGTACCAAGATAGATAAGAATTGGGAGAAGAAAATAATCTACTCCAAGTGTTGTTCCTGCGCAAATAAAATCGCGGGCGCCAACTAGTTTGTTATATTTAAACACTATATCATTCAATAAGTACTTGGATTTGCTTTTTCCATTTTAATATTCTTATATTACGAAAACTTAAAACAAAGTGTATTTTAAATGTGGAAATGTAAATAATAAATTGAAAATATATATAAGTATACTTATATAAATATGGTAATTCATTTCGTGTTTGATACTATGTAGTTTTTACTTACATTTTCTCAAACTTTTATACAATTTCCATTTATTAGAAAGTGCGAATTCAATTTCATTGTGTTGAAGTTGAAAGCTTTCTTGTATTCGAATATAATGTGCTTAAATACACATCACGTTTCATAGAAAAATATCGTAACTGTTGCCGTGCAACTATAGGAGTAAGGTTCTTTGTCACATAATCCTGCACTCCTCAATTGAATTTAAACAGTAATCCACTCAAACGAGACCCAGTCTTATATTCCGTTTGTAAAATCTAATCTCCAATGGAGCTTTCAAGTGTATCACACAGATGAAATGGGTTTCCTCTTATCAGATTGGATCCAAAACAAAACCCCTGAGTTTCAACGTAGAGAAAATGTCACAATGCTTGGCACGATGTTCCAACATGAAAGTCAATAGACGACCCGGTGGTTTAACGGTTTAGTACTATCCGATGATCGTGGTTTTGATTCTCGCATGCTACAAACCGTATGACTGTTTATAATAGTCTTGGTATCTTTTTGTGCGCTATGAAAATTATGCAATAAAATTAAATGAATAAAGTCATTATCACAGAAAGAAAATAACAATTACATATATTAATATGATACGATAAAGGTACAATGGGCGGTCTTATCGCTAAATAGCAATTTTACAGGCAACCTTAAGATGGAGAGGAGTGACTAGACTGAATCTGGTCTTTAAAATATATTGAAACAAAAACTTTTTTTATATAAGTACTTAAGTGGCTAAAACGTTCTACATTTTATATTTGATTTTATAAATATTCATGTACTTACTTACATAAAATGATTGTGACATGCGATCATTTTTATTGTAGTCCTTGATACCAATAGTTATAAATAAGTATTCATAGGTATAGGTATCTGTAACGAAGTTTCAAGCTCTATCTTCACCTTATACTTCTTACGAGATAAGTAGGTTTACGAAACCTTTCACCTTGATTGACTATTTATTAAAACCAAATGAAATATGTATTTGACTTGATATAGTTAGAAACAATAGTTTGGACGATTCAAAACCAGATCAAACCGTTAACATTATTTGCTGATTGTCATCATCGGGTATTTAAATATCATTAGCCTACTTTTTGTTGCTGTTGGTTAAACTAATCCTTAAAGTTACTGTATATATTATTTTTATAAATATTATAAATACTGTATATATATTAGACAAATGGGCAACATTAATATTATAAATACTGTTATTTTAATGTCTTATTTTTTTGTCTAATATGTCTTCACGGCTGTAATGCCAGTTAGGTTAGTTACAGACATTTCAACTTTCGACTATGAGTGAGAAGACTGAGAAGTCAATCTATCTAACTAAAGTAGTCCACTTTAGATTCTTGTCGGTATTTTTATCAATGGCGGAGTTTTAGATAGAAACGATACAGTCAATCAATATAAATTTGTATGTGATTACCACGCGTCACATACAAATTTAACACACGTCACATACAATTATTTTATAGATTCATTGAAATCTATCTATCATTATTCGATTTCAGTTTTGGAGAAGACTTCTCCAAAACTGAAATCACGTAATGAACACAAATATGCCGTCAAATTGGCAACTTTCTCTTTCTTTATTTGTTCAAATAATAAGGAAAATCGGGTATAAAGTCTTAACCCATACTGATATTGCAGACTAATGTTATATGTGCTAAATATCTTCTATTTGTTAACTTTTCAAGACTGTTTGTTTGAGCAGAAATGAATGAAATTTAACGTGAAAATGGTTTGTATCACGAGGACGGACATTGGCTATCTTTTAACTTAAAACCATGCCGTAAGATTAGGATCCGAAACAGTTTGTCTAATTTATTTACGTCTGCTACTAGATTTAACTAAATTGGCTAGGGCAACTACATCATCAAATAATTGCTAAGCAAATTCTATGCAACCACAATTCTGAATTGCAAAGCTCAAATAGAAGTACGGATATTTGGTATCCCCTGGGAAGAAATGATAAATAATGGATGTGATGTGTGCCTACACATATAGATAATTTGAAATTAGCATTATTGTTGCAAAAATAAAGTTTTAAGTGACTCGTGACAAAATATAATATCTATTTTACATTAAGATTTTTCATTTATTTTTAAATAAATTCACATATTAAATTTCTTTAAAAATAAAAAGAAAAATCTTCTAAACGTCATCTTAATAGAAAAATATCAAAGTATAAAACACAACAATGACAAACGTCACACATAAAAATTGAACCTTAGTACATAAAATACAGCAAAATTTTCCGTTTCAAGAAGAAACGCCTGAGACATATACTTCGTAACGTTTTCAGTTTGATCAACTGCTTAACAATTACGATGACTTCAAAGAAACCAATTAGACAGAGTCGTGAATCTAGTGAGAAGAATCCTCAGCGTCTGTCCGATGTAGCTTTAGCCGCTATATCATCGTTCAAGAAACAGAAAGAAGTAAGTGATTTCATGAATTTCTTGCTCGGAGCTCTTGAGCGAAATTCCGATTGGCTTAATACCGTCATTGCCAAACAGAACAATTTCAAATGTGCCTTTATGACAGGAGCAGGCCCAAATCGTTTTCAGCTTCAACAAATTATTTATCCTTCTAAAGAAGATGACATAAAACTAGAAGTTGAAGTAAAGGACTCTGAAGATTACGACAAGATAGCTGTAGCGGCGCTTCTTAAATTATCCAATATGGACATGGATTACTTGCTCAATTATATTAAAACGAAACTTTTTGATAATCCACTGTTAACAAAGGATTTATTAAAGGGGAAATCACTAGGTATTAGCTTTGCAGTCTTAAGGCCTTTATCCGAGAAACAATACCGAGTAATGGAAAGAATAGTTATAGGTAGCTCCATGCAATGCGCAGTGCCAATAAAGAAGAGACGAAGGGAGGAAAAATTGTTCATTGGGCCTCCCATAAAGAAGACCAAACGGGTGGTTTAATTTTGTCGCATAGTTGCACCGTCATGGAATACCAAAATGAAATGGACAGTCGTTATGGTGCACCACGGTGTTATGTAGCATATAATGACGGCAATTTGGAGCGACTGTGAAATGCGAGGCTCACAGTAAATTATACTCATTTTGCAATGATCGTTTCCGATTACCTGTGATGGATGAGGTGCATTTGTGGTGGAATTTTTCATTTCTATAAAAACTTTAATAAAATATTGTGTGATGTTTTTACAAATAACACCCATTAATGAAATTCTTAATCATCTACATTTGCATATTGTATATTTTATTATCTATGGCCTATGTATGTAGTAGCTTATAGCTAGTAGTTTTTAAACGTCTGGAATAACAAATATGCTATAACATCAAGCAACAACCCACCTAATGAAAGATGTTTACTGTCGCTAATAGGCATAATTATAGTATTAGGATGAATATCACAAAAACATTGTGATACTATACATAGGGTTAATATCCCTCATGGTGTCAGTCCTGAGAATAAAAGCTTTATGACTATAACCTGCAATACTAGTTTACCGCTCGACAGAACTACAAACTGAAATTCAGACATCAGTAATTCAGGCAGCAGGTCAACCCAAAATTATTACTCGTATTGTCACTAAAGCTTTATCTGAACATGAATAAATTTTATTTATAAGTTTGAAATGACAAAATTCAACTTTCTCAACCTACTACTCCTACTATATAGAATTTTTAGTTTACAATCTCTTTACCACTAAATTCTAATTATATATCACATAAAGTAGGGTGAGATATTGATCTAAATATAGCTTAAAGTTTTAACTACCAACCCATAAAAAATATATAAAAATTAAAGAGTAAAAGTCTGTATGAAAATTAAAAATAGTTTTCCAATTTCAACGCTGAACTATCAGCAAACAATTATCGTTTACAATACCTTTCCGTTGAACTGTAGTCGTTTTTCATCTCAAAGCGGCCGGGCGTAACAGAGATCAATATCTCGGGAATCAGGGCAGCCGTGCGCCGGCTAACTTATAGCCTCAAATCCTTCTACCAATAACTTATTACAATAGCACTCGCAGTTACGCAACCGTGAAGAGTGAAACAATAGTTTTTCCTGTTCTCCGCGATTTGGAAGCCTCCCGAAAACGGCGGCAGTGCTTGCGAACTTTTCGATCTGCTTATCGTTAGACATAAATCAATTTGAATCATGGCGCAGCCTGAGTATAAGTTGGGTCCCGTCTGAGCCCTTTTTCTAACTTGGGACCGACCATACGGATTAAGGGACCGCTGACCGTTGCGTAATTGGCGTAATAGTTGTGTGATTTATTAGATTTATGGATTTATGTGCTGCGGAAGCAAATTTTATTATTTGAACTTTCTCAAACAGTACTGTAGCCAATAGGTATATTATGCTCAAGTAAATAGAATAAACACTTGAGCTTCTGTTTATTGGGTCGTAGAGGTTGGTACAACGCAACGATTGAATTGTTAACAAACGTTATATGTGTAAGTGTTTTTCTGATATAAAAAACGTGAAAATTGGAGAAGGGATCGTGGTTTTATTGTACAGAGAATTGGGATAAATTCGAGTTAATATTAATTTTTATTCTAAATAAACACGCTTGGTTAGTTGCCGAAATAGTGTTATTATGCTACAAACGTATCTTTATAAATCAATAATGATTTTTACTGTTTTACTACACGATCTAGACTATGAATGGTAGATGTGTTTATGTAAAAAATTATTTCGTAAACAGTGCGTTATGTACGTAAAAAAATAATAGAACTCACTCCTAATACACTGTACATATTCGTGGTACAAATAATTCCATTATCAACGGTACAACTCTGAACTCCTATTTTACTCTCATTAGTTGAAATTGATCAGTCTTAATGGATCGAAATTTAATCTATAAACAATGTTAAGTAACATCCTCAAAATGTTTGTAATATATGCTTTTAGTTTTTTTATAAAAACAAAATGCACCAGTGTCGTATGTTGTTCTATTCTTCCAACGGTGTCTGGGGAATCGTATATTTTATTTGGAACTGCTATCACTATAGTACAGGGTACGGCTTATAAGTATTCTCTTTGCAATTCTTCGCATTGCGCTGAAAAATGATACATCGCATTTACCACAAACTGCCACGGTTCTACACTTGTTTCTTTTAAACTAGAACTTTTTCTGTCACCACCACATTGTAGTGTACATAAATATGCATCTCACGGACCACCACTGAATTCCCCGAGGCTCTCAAATGCTCAAGCTGCTATTCAAGATTTTGACCGCGGTCCAGATTCAATTTACATTTCAGATTTCCCGCTCACATTCCTATTCTCACGAATTTTATATTTCCAGTAGACTTTTTACAAGCATCGTCTCTCGTTGGACACTTTGAGTTATGAACCTAACAACTTTCTATATCAGAAACGAGATTGTGTGTAATTGGGATAAATTCCTCCAGGATGAAACTTACGAAGCAGCTAACGAGAGACAAAACTTCACAGATTTAGCGTTGAATGTTTAAAAACGCAAGAGCTCGTACAATATTAAAACAAACCAGCGAAGTTTAATACCGAACAGCCCACCGACTTAATATAAAACGCCGCTGAAAAGAAAGTAAGAAATTGTGGAACGAGGTAATAACAATTTTATAAGAACAAATAAATGCATCTGCGATGTTGCGGCACATAAAGAACCTTCATAAAATGAAACTGCTCTTAGGGTTAAATTTTTATTTTAAACATAGGAAGGGATTTTGATGGCCCTCCCACGTCGTGGAGGCGCGTTAGCTTTAGATTTAGAGTTGGTTGGCAATAATAACACACTAGAAAAGGTGATTCAAAGTGCCATCTCGTTCGGAAACGGGGATATGTATCATGTCTCAGATTTACTAGTGACATTTTCATAAATTACCGCCCGCTGTATTAATATCGCGTGAGTAAATTTTAAATTAACTCCTCGTACAGAATGTTTGATGTTTAATTAAAATCTACATAATGCGCCGATGAAATGTTACAAGATGTTATCCGTATATTTTGGAACAGGTGTCTTGTTATAAGTTTATTATAATATTCAACTCTTAATTGCACCAGAAATAGGTACATTGCAAGGAATATTATTTAAAGAGATAAAGAAGGCAGTTCTGTAGCGAAATAATTATCTTCCGGATAGTTTTAGGACGTAGAACATGAGGTAGAGGTATTGTGACATTATATTATGTAGTACAATGAATAGCATGTATTATTATTATATTACACACAAAAATAAATAATATTTACAGACCTAAAATAATTTTAGAAAATAGTGTCCCTATCTTGTGGTAATTAAAACATATATATATATATATATATATAGACTAGACTAATTCTGTACAAATTCTTTTTATACTATAAAATTTGTCCTACAAACAAACTAAGAAAAACAAATCAATTTAATGAAAAAAATAAATATTCATACAAATAAATTAAACCTCATTAACCTGGTTTCTCACATTCTTCATGCCTTGTCGATACTTCGGGCTCTGTACTACAGCTTCGGATATCTTCTAAGTACTTCTAACGGTTCGGAATCAGTAATAAATCGTACTATTCGGTTTTGTTTTCAATCATTCAAAAGAGATTACGTAGCAGGGAGGCGTAAGTGGCTCATGTCACCTTATAAGCCAAATCCTACCGTTGATATGATACTATTTACTTGGAGCTGTCACGGAGTGGTGGTAAGATATATTTTTAAGGTAAATACTGAAAAAAATATTTATATTTTTTAAGTAACTTCTATACAGGTTGTGATTTTACTGCGAAACTCGTGAAGACAATTTGTTTTGTGTATTGGAACATTAATATTAAATTTATACCTAGCACTAGTATGATGGATCGGATGAATAGATCGGACAACAACTGGTATTATATATCTCGTCTATATTTATTTACATTGCGGATTAACCTTTAACGGCTGAACAGAAAAATTAAGGTGCTAAAAATTTAAAAATTTGTGGTGCTAGCCACAAATTCGTCTGCTAGTTTGTTATAATACTAGTTTGTTACAAACTTAATTAAGTTCTAAATTCAATGTTTCATAATGTATCTAGTTATTTCGATATTTATTTTATTTTATTTAAGGTAAAAATAACGTAATAAAGCTGCTCTTAATTACTTGTATATTATAGTTCCTATAAAAATGGTTAGGTTAGGTTAGGTTGTAGGTTGTACTAAAATTTCAAATGTAAACGTAAAAATAACTTTATTACGTTATTTTTACCTAGGTGCAGACCTAATTACTTGTATCGTATAGTTCCCCAAACTGTCATTCTGTTTTCATAATGCTCTGAACGCGCCAGCGACTCGTGGAACGGCGCTCCGCCAGATACCTATTAATTCAAAATTAAGGTGCATTAGTCCAGGGAATACATAATAGGATTCAGCCCCTGAATATGTTTTTTAAGTTCTCTTATTTCCATTAAACTATATTACAATTAAATTTATTCAATTATTCATCAGAATTTTCTTTAAATACTAAAACACAAGTTACTAACTATTAGTGGAGCCCATAACTTCGTATCTATGGTATTCCGAATAACAATCCATACGTATATATAATGCGTAAGTGTATCTGTTTGTTTGTTACCTTTTCACAACTGAATAGTTTGATTGATATTAATATAATTTGATTAAATTTGAAATACAACAAACACAAAATGTCACCAGAAGCTAATCTATATATGTATCCTACATAGATATATCACTGAAAACCACATTGAAATCTGTTAAGACTTGGAGAGTGGCAAGCCACAGACAAACAGATAAATTGTAAATATGTTTTTTAATCTCGCTAACATAAACAACGTCTACAATTTCTTTTTAAGCTATTGAAAGTAGATTGATGTGCGATTGAAAAACGTATGTTATTTACCGAACTCGTGATTACTGCAGTGTGTTTGTGAAATAGTATGTTAAATCACTGCACAAACACATAAATTGTATTAGATTTATGAATGTGACGTGCGATTTCAATGAAAAATAAATCGATTAAAGCAACCTTTATCTTCGCAACAAGACACCACATTAATTCACATCGAGTATCACGGAGAAAGTTATGCGCTGTGGAACCTCATGACTTATACATTAAATAAATCAACAGATCATCGTGTTTACACGATGCCGTGTACAGTCGCCTACATAAATACGAGTGGCAAGGAAGCGCTTTCGATGTTCACAGTTTTAATTTTAAAGGCGAAATGAAAGTGATTTTGATAGTGATACTAATTTTAAATCATTGTTATGCATAATTTTGTTTAGTATATTTTCTAAAGTTATGTTTTTTAAGTACTCGAAAGAGAAAGATTAACACAGCATTTAAAAAACGATACGCATGTGTTGGAATTCTAAATAGGATATTTCATTGATATTTAGATTCTGTTTGTAAAGGGCTGTTATCACCATACGTAGTTATGTGACATATATCATGTCCACCGTTCATGCTTTTAAACGATACAATTAACGATTACAATTATTGTTCCATCATGTCAGATTGTTTAACACTATTGGTAAAATATTTGAGAAATCAACT